TGACTGCAATGTTTATTTTCCATAGATTTACAATGGCAGCTCACCAAATATTTAAGAATTTACAGATATAGCTAAAGCCCCATTCACACAGGCTGTTAAAGGGAGCACTTAGCATGCGATCCTGATGCCAGCAGAACGCCACTTTGTACATGTGATGTGCTCAGTGTGACAAACCTGGCCCATGCTAGATGTTGTAGGCCATGGGCTGCATGGTGGGCTGCATACACTAGTACCAGCAGTCGCATAGAGCATAGGTGCGGGCCTTGTTAGGTAGGCTGTATGGGGGCCCCATAATTTCTAATGGCTGCCCTGCCTTTAACAGATAATAATAATCTGATCAATAACACTAACTGTATAGTAATTTGAGTATAGTGCATATTAACCAAATACATACAACACCATTATAACTGATTCAATATATTTTCATAGTCCTTCACAGCAGTAAATGAATGTGATTGCTCACTAGATGCTTTTTGAAGCACAACATTTATCATTGCTGTGGAGATTTCATTTCATGTCACTTTATGGGTGTTTGCACTGTCTGATCGCACAACAAATCACTGGAGCATTTTTTTAGAAATGATCATGTGCAGACAGCCTGGCTGGATCACAGTGTCAGCTATTAAGTGCTCCAATTTAGTGCCAATTTACTAAGTGCCTTTTCGGAGCTCAGCAGCTAACAGAAGGAATGCTTTCTGGGCGCGTGTCTACACAGACATCCAGCATCAGCTGTGCTGACCCGATCAAAGTTTGTGACAAACATGTGGGATTTAGATCCAAATTATTTCTTTATTTGTTTGGGGGAAAATATGGCTTTAAAGATAAGTCTGAACTAGGCCAGTGTAAAAATCTAAACATTTAGTCACAAACTGGTCTGAATCTGCAGAGCTAATTATGTAATATTTATATTTTACCCCTTATTTAGCTGACTTCCAGCTCATGAGTAGCCACAACAAAGCCCTGCAATTGTGTACATTCCTATTAACTACAGGGCTCAGTTATATTCAGAAGTAAACAGTGGACACGTGCATGTGTGTTGTCAGCATGAGGTCAAGCAGTGCAGTGACTGTTAGAATTATTATAGTTTTATACAGTGAGGAAAGGTTAGAACGTTTGTCAAATTCTCACTGCGGTCTCTGGTCCGTTTCAGAAATTTGAATTCGTATCCTACAACAGTGAAAAAGTTGTTGCCAGTGCAAAAATTAAACGAGTTCTCTTTTGGGTCACAGGAGTACATTTACTAATGTACTCCTGTGACCCAAAATCAGCATATAGCGGGCTACTGCCCACTGTATGCTGACAGCACAGAGCCGTTCTGCAGCTGGGAAAGATACCCAACAATATTGTTGGGATCCACCCCACTGCTGATTGACAGCTGGTTCTCTTCCTCTCTAGAGCCAGAGCTAGCTGTGCCCGCCCCCACTCCTGTCTGTCCCTCCAATGAGCACTGGTGGTACAAAGAGGGAAGGGGGGAATCCCGGCAGGTAGTTGTGACAGTCATCGCTCTCTTGCAAGAAAAGGACTCTGGCAGGTGCTTTGGAAAATTCAAAAGATCAAGAAGTGGGGGGGCACCCCAATGGTTGAGCATTTTTTTATTTTATTTAGTTTATCGGTTCATATTAAAAAGAAACAAGTCAAATTTCTCAAGTACCTGTGAGAAAGTAGGATTCAGCAGCTTAAACATTTTATTTTGGTTTTGGATAGAATGGGGAAGAGTTGAAACACCTGTGAGTTTATTTTTTTGTTTGTGATCCGTCAAAGAGATTTATCTTCACCTTCCGTCCCAAAGACGCAACAGGAAGTGGGAAAAAATTGCTACAGAGGGAAATTAAGCTCTTAGACAGTTATCACCACAACCTGTGTCCCATTTGGACAATTTTTGCACACCTCCTCTTCTTAGAACTACAGTAGAATTTTGGATTTCCCATCACTTTTTGTCTTGGTAACAACGGTCACCAGGACAAATAGAGAGGATGAATCTACCTAGCAGGAACAAAGACAGCTATAAAAAAAACATGGTCTGTCCTTATTTAATACAGAACTAAAAGAAATGTTTTTACCCCCCAACATTAAAAAATGTTTATAAATGCAACTTTGCCGTAAAACATTTTTACATTAGTTTCTTATTTAAAATACTTTTTCATTAACTTACATTTAATGTAATCCCACTTCCTGGTCCACATAGACACTGGTGACCAAGCCAGGTCCCCAAAAGTGTGCTCTGCGAAGGCTGCATCACGAGTTCCTTCCAGGAAGATCTCAACTGTAAACCTTGAGATCTTGTGGGAGTTTGTGAAATGTCATGAGATGTCAAGGGAAAAGGCTTTTTTTGTTTATATGTTGTCATGGCTTCAGCAACCTCACCAGAGGTAGTGTAATGCCACTATGTTGCCATAGTCATGGATATATATATATATATAAATAACAGAGCAACAGATCTTGTGCAGTGCATGCGCGAGATCTGGCATGGATGTCATCAGTGGAGTGGCAGCCGAATCGCTGAAGAGCAAGCTGGCCCCCGATGATGTCCACTATTCAAAATGTCAGAGCGGGAATAGAGGAGAAGTGAACCATTAGCATGTGGCAACAAACAAAACAAGGAGGCAAGAAAAAAAAAAAAATTTTTATTTGGTACATACAGTAATGGTGGAAGTTTCATGTGAGGGGGATGGGCCCACTTTAATTAATTAATGGGAAAGCGCATTTGTTTAAAAATTACCTTGCAAGTGAAAAATTTAAACAGATCCGTTGCATCTAAAGAATAATGCTTAGGACTGGGAACTGCCACAGAGAAGTTACAGCTTTGTAGTTGGCTCAGACATTACAGTAGACCTAAGCAAGTAATTTTACGCTATACTCTATTAAACGTTGGTCCGTAAAATAAATTGCAGAACCAGTAAAAAGAAAACCTTACCTAAACATTAAGTAATAAAACAAAGCTAATTCAGTGTTAACCCCGATCACACCTTTTCCACCCAATTTGTCTTCTGAAAACATTATGAAATAATCCAGTAACTGGAAACATACACAGACTACATGAATAAGCAGGCCCCTACTGTGGGATAAACCATTAACGTTAATACCATTGGGATGCATACTACTTAACAAGGGCTGCTTTGAACTTGAAGCACATGGGAAAGTAAGTTTTCACCATAAATAAGGAAGTTTTTGCTTTGATTCAGACCACTGACAGGCCAAATGTTCTCAACACAAATTCACTTTAGCTCTTAATTTCCTAAGCAGTTGCTTAAGCAGTTATTTAAATGTGTGATACAAGGGAGACATACTAAAATAACATAATCAGGGTATATGTAAGAGGAGGTCGAAATTTAAAAGCATGGCAGCTGTCCATACAGGTGTATTTACACAAGGATATCAGCACATTATGACTGATCAGCCAACCAGAATAATCAAATGAGACCTGAGCTGTAGCTAAAATAGAACCAGTTACAGAAGTCTTAAATAATTTTATTTTTTATCATAATAATTATTATTAATATTATGCAGCCTTATATATGGAATGTTAATGTCTACCCTCTTATTTAGGTATTATATACAGTGATATGAAGAGGACTTTGAACCAGAGAGTCAATGCAGAGAGGGCCCCATGTGGTGTAAAGCTGCTGTTTACATTCCTATAAAAAGTAAACCTGTACTAGGGAAGAATGAGGCTGCCATTGCAGACATCTCCTGCAAATAAAATTTCCCTGGCTTTCATCCTGATCCACTGGTCTGCAGGTTTGTTTCTGCTCATGATTTAGAAAGTACATCCAAGCAGCCGCCATAACGCACTCAGGAGTTTGGATCCAGTGTGCTATCAGCATGATGCCTGGCATCCGACACTACAGAATCTGTCTGACTTCAGGGAGCCTTAGAGTCATCCTGAAAGTCAGCAAAATCAAGTCAGAGGGCAAATATAAATCTTTCATACGAAGGCCTGCTTTGTTATAAAAAACCTTCCATCATTTCAGTTGTGGATGATTTTTTGAAGATAACCTTCGGAATTATTAACTGCAAGCTCACTGCCAGCACAATACTGATTATTATTTTTATTGTATTAGGGTCACCCTTTCTTATGCAATACAAGAAAAGATAGTATGCTCAACAGAGTGTGCTCTAAGTGTCCTAGCCTGCAAATTATACTTCATAGCAAAATCATTATATGATCCCAAATTGTGTCCCATAATAAATAATGTGTCAAGATGTCAAGAAACATCAAAAATAAAAAATAAAATGGTAAAAAGCGTAATTTAGACTACTCACCAGTTCACCTTACAATTATACACACTTAGCATTGTCCGAAAAATGGTAATTGCCTCATGATGATATGGTACACATAAGGTTGTGTTCCACTCCATCACTATACACTGCACATACGGCAAATCCCTTTAGACCAATTCACTTGCTGACTAAAAGATCACAGGATTGGGGTTCTCTAACAAACGAAAAAGTGGATCCCTACACCAGGTCACCAAGCAGACTGATTCAACCAGCAGCAAACTGGCAATGCATGGCCCGATGCAGGTCAAGTCATGATTCAGGCAAACCAATCCTCTCAAAAGCACTAAATCCTGGCCATTGGTGGTCAGTTGACAACTGTAGGTGCAGTTTCTAGATCTACTTAAAACACAAGGTGGTGCTTAACTCCTATGATGGATTCAATTCAATCTGATAATTGTTTTTGCTAACAAATACCAAAAAAAACCCCTAATCTAGTACATCCGGTATATCCCACAAAGCAGCTGTACTTCAAAATCAAAAAGTGAGAATCTCCTGATTTTGTAAGAAAAGCACAACTCCAGCGCAGGGGGATTAAAAGGTAGGAGATACAGTTTTGTCATAACAAAAAGATGTTTACCTCATCGGAATCTACAAAAAAATGATATATCAGCTTTGACCACTTCAATTTCACAGCAGGGCTACAGCACCATAAGTTAAACAATTACCTGCACCATTGATCATCCCATTTTATCCATGCAGATGAGCAGAACATTTCTTACCATATGTTAAGATGTACAGTGGTTTTCCATTTGTGTCCATAGTGGTAAGGCAGGGCGCTTTAGGTGATATGGTTCCCCATCTCTGTAGCGCTGCTTCCAGTGAAGGAGGCCAGTTAGTGACTACACCCAGCTGTTCCCCTCTCATGGCTAACATCTGTGCTCCCTCTGGTTTTGGCTGGTTTGGATCAGGCTGTTGAACTTGGAAGACAAGGTGGAGAATACAGTATTATTAACAGTAAAATTATCTGCATACCTAATGAGCATTCAAAAGCTTTCTCCATCTGACACTTTAAATATTCTAATTGTCAGACCTATGGCGCACTAGGGATTTGCTAACACCATACTCATCTTCTCTTATAAAGTCACTTCGTAGCTGCCTGAACCAAGGAAGTGACACTCCATGCTGCTTTCTAATTGATAACTTTGACTCTAAAGTAAGACTATAACTTCCATTTGGGAGAGTTAGGATTTTGGTCATTCTGCCTTTGGTGAGGTGTCACCAGCAGCAGAATTGTCAGTGGGACATTCTCCATGTCCCAAATGTGACAAAGAGCAACAAACCATTAAAATACTCTGTTATTGTACAGCAGTATACTTACAAATATAAAAAAAACATTAAATAAAAAAGACTGCAATTATTTTTATTTTTGGCTTACGAGGGCACCAAAAAAGGTATTTCTATGCAGACAGTGTCCTCAGATAGCCAATCATATACAGTACAATGTACCACTTTTCAACATTGGATATTCTCACATGCACACTGTACAGCTACTGGCAGCAAATTTGTAATATCAAGTACAGAAACTGATCTAAAAACAAAAAACAAAAAAGTGCTGGTTTACTGGTAACTTTTGTCTTGACTGGAGTGAACTTTTACAAGAGAACTATAGTCCTTTTTTTACTTTTTAAAATATACAAGCTGAACTCCACGCAGACAGACTTTTCTCTGCTACAGTTGAAGGAGAACTTTGAGGTGAGTGACATCCACTCATCCTGATAGTTCGAGCCGACATGGGACGGCTCGAACGCATAACATCGCTCGCTCACTTCTCGATCTCCCTGCAGAGAGCAGTGATTGTCACTCACGGCTCCCTGCAGGGATTCCCCCGCTCCGATCTTCCAGCGCTGAGTGGAGGAACGAACAGGGGAGGAGGCGGGCACAGCTGGCTCTGCCTCTAGATAGGCACGGCCAGCTGTCATTCACGCAGCTGGGTGGATCTCGACAGCATTGTCGGGATCCGTCCCACTGCGGCGGTCTCAGTATACAGCGAGCTGCAGCTCACTATATACTGAGCTTTGGGTCACGGGAGGACACTAGAATATGTCCTCCCCTGACCCTTGAGAACTATGGGGAAAAACACTTACCCCATAGTTCTTTTTTAAGTAACACTACATGTCTTCTCCCTGTGCCTGGAGAGCAAAAGAGAAGCAGCAGACTGATTAGCTCTTCTCTCTGTCACTCTACTCTCTCCTTCTTTAGCATGCTCCTTTTTAACACAATGAACTGGCTCCTTGTCTTGTGCTTGTGCTTCTTCCTCTCCCAGTGTGAGCTCTGCCATACAGGGGAGTGCAAGAAGCTGATGCCAAGTCAAATTTAGATACTTACACTAGTTGATTTCAAAAATACACTTAGGGGTGTATTTATAAACAATTTACAGAGCCAAACTCTGTGAATGTTCTTTCTGTGCAAATGTAAGCAAAAATTTTCCAAGTCGAATGCAATATTGTGAAAATACTGCATTATGACCACTAGATGGAGCTAAACAGCAGGGGAGAGAAGTACTGTATTTATTTCCTCTGCTCCTCGGTTCTGTCTAGTGGTTAATGTTTTCCTTTCAAATTAGTTTTGTTGGGCTCAGCCCATTTAAAAAGCAAAAGATTCAGCAGTATCTAATGATGTGAAATACCCACTCACTCACTGCTGGTTGTCAAGGACCATTTTACTTAGACTTTAGGTTGTATAGAGAAGCTCAGGAGCAGCAGTTTAACCGATGACCAGCAAGGAACTTGAAAACTGTGACATGTGTCTAGCTGATTCAAGCAATGTGTGAATTTTAATGATAGGTCTATTTTATTTCCTAGCAAATCTGCACTGTTATACCTTTGTAATGCTATATCAAAAGAGAAACAAATGTTGGATATTTGATACTTATTCAAGCCTAGTAATGTATAATCTGTGGTAATAGACCTTACAGTATTACAGAGCTACTGTGGTGTTTACTACTGCTACTGTATGTAATTAAGTTAAACTAGGGCTAGAGAAGATGATTATTATATTAATGTTCTGCCGTATACAGAATATTATTTATTGGCTCTGAGCATCTCTAGCAACTCAAATAAACACTGAATATACGATCACATTCAGTTAGTGAATGCATGAAGACATGCCAACTCTACCAGAGTCAGGTGCACAGTATATATTCATCTCTACATACCAGGGCAATGTGTAATACTACACACCTGTGTTTCCTGTTACCCAGGTCTGGTTGTGTAATACAGTTACATAATATATGGTTATTTTCTCTAGCCCTCAGTCTCACTTTCTTGTTTTCTCTCATAAACATATATAAAAATTATCCTTAAAGATTCAGGGGCTGATTTATTCAAACCTGTCAAAATAAAATGAGTTTAATGTAGTAAACACACCTGGCATCGGAGGTATCAGTAGTAGGAACAGGAAGATGTATTCATTTTGCTCTTGTGCAAAAGACAAAATGAAATGTAATGTAAAATATTTGAATATGTCCTATTTGAATCACTTGTATGGTAAACTGATTTCACAATATTTTTTTATTTTTAGGCATATGAAAAACAAAAATGTTTGCCCATATTCTACACTCTCAAAACTGGGCATCTGCTTTGATAGCAAGAGAAACTTCATTTTTAGGGTCAAAAAACAGCATCTAGGTTTCCTTAAGACACATTAAGGCTCCCCAAGAGATGCAAAACCCAAAAAGGGCTATTAGTACAAACATTACATTTACATAAGCTCATTTAAATGTATTCCAAGGAGCATGCATCCCAGAGGTTCCCATTACTGCAGGAAAGCAAAAAAATTACATTGACAGGTTAGGCATGTGTCTCGTTAACTAGGTAAGCACACAAGAAAGAAATATATGGTCATAACACACAGTAAAGAGCAATGGTTAGGAAAGTGACCTTGAAAAACCGAGTTTAGAGCATTAGTCCCCACCAGGGCTACACCTGCATGAAGTTTGTGTGCTCCTCTTAAAAGGTTTTCAGCATGGGGTTTTTATGCTCTGTTTAACCACTTGAAGACTGGGGTTTTAAACCCCCCTCTTGTCCAGGCCAATTTTCATTATTCAGCACTGCGGTACTCTGACATTTTTTCAGTCATGCAACGCTTTATTGAAACAAATTCTATACCGTTTTATAGGGACAGATAGAGCTTTCTTTTGGTGGTATTTAATCACCACTGGGGTTTTATTTTTTACTATATTAAGGAAAAAAGTAGCGGGATAAAAAAATACTATATTTAGTTATAAAACATTTATTATTACCCATTTTTTGGGTAAATAAAAGATGGGGTCCTGTCGGGTAAATTAACACCAAACATGTCAAGCCTTAAAATTGTGTGAAAATCGCAAAAACCTACCATACTCAAAATTGGCCATAGGTGACGCCTTAAAAGGCATTTACTGCTCATCAGTTTAGTGTTAACAGTGTTTGATGGCCCTAAAATTATTGCTCTAACTCCGATGTTCGTGGTGATATGTAACATGTGCAGTGCAATAGGCACAATCGTCGCTTTTGCACGTAAGCGCATCCAACGCATGTTTACATTTGCATGTGTGTGTATGTGGGGGCAGGGGGACAATAAAAACATGTTTGTGCTTTTTAATAATTTTTTTTATATGAGACTAATTTTTTTTACACAATTTTTTTTGTGCAAATATACAGTGACTGGTGCTCTTTATGGAAACATCAGGGGTCTATAACACCCCTGTCACCTAGGGACCCCAAAATAAGCTGATGAAGCAGAGATCTGCTTCACCTGCTTCTCTCCAGCTACAGAAGCTGGAGAGAAGCAGAAGGCGGAAATTATGTAATACACATCACTGCCTCATTTAGAGATCATAGGGGAGACCAGCGGGAGATTGTGTGCTGATCTCCCTCCGATCAGTGTTCAGGGAGCTGTCTGCTGTTCCCAGCCTGCACGGGGACAGCGGAGCCCGGGATAGGCGATGGCAGGAAGGGGGAGGGGACCGCATACGGCAGCACAACATACAAGCGATTGGTGGCTCTATAGCCACCCAAACACTTGTATGTAAACAGCCACCGTCGCCTGTATGAAATGCAAACAGTTTCCCGTTCAAGCACGTGCGGAGGAGCGCGCGCAAGTGGGAGTGGAAGTTTTAAAATGTCCACCTGCATTCAGGAGTGCCCGTCAGGCTGTTTAGGTACAACAGCAAGATGGGAAGTGGTTAAAGGCCTTTGGCCTAAAATGGCCCTAAAACACACAAGTGTAGGTGTATGTAGAGGGTACATTAGAATATGAGCTTTTCTGTATCAGGTAGTGTGGACCTTAAACAAAACTCTGTATAGGATTGCATGGTACCCTGGTACCTTAGAAATATGGGAAATACAAGTGTAACAAATAAAAAGCAATTAAAATAAAATGAATGGCACATTGTTTTAATGGAGATAACTGTGCTGGATTTATAAGCAGTCTTCAGAAAAATTCCCACCCCGAAGAATATTAGTTAGTAGCTTACCTTCCAATAATTCCTCAAAATCATCTACAAAGAATTCCCGTAAAGGAGGCCTCTTGGGCCTTTTTAAGGTGTTGACAAGTTGCTGGATTTTTGCAGACACTCTACTGCTTACAGGAACGCCTGCAGGACAAAAAAACAATACACCTATTACAAGCCAAATCCATAAAGGTCTAAGGCTGGCAAATGCCAGAACACAACCCTCAATATTATCAAAGAATTGTGGAGATGTTGTTTAACAACTAATGCAAGCTCATGTGGTGCAATAGTACATACAACTATAGTGAGGCACCATAATATAGGCCAAGACGTAAAAGTAAAGCCAAACTTTATTTTTTATATCTCGTTGAGGAGATATTTTTTTTCTCGTCTTGGATATAAACCAAGAAGTAAGAGGAAAAAATATGTCCAACATGAAATGAAAACCCATTTTAGATAGTTGTCTCTAAAACAAGTATCCTTATTAGGTTTTCTTTTACCTCACGTTTCAGTGATTTCCCACTACTTTCTATCTAAGTGACAATAGTCAGAAGGACAAAAGGGCTATCTGGAAATGACCACCATCCCTTGCCTTTTCCATCAGATTCCGCAGAAAGAGTTGACATGCTGAGGGATTACATATTGAGTTATTAGCTTGAGTGTCTTTTGTGCACAAACTCCCCACTCAGTTTCTGCCTTTTTTCTTCAGTGGTAAGAGATAGCTTGTTCCTGCCACTGCTCCCATCAGCAAGAGAAACACGGTTCACACTCAGATTAGTCCATGCTGCCACCTACAGTGACCTAAACACCTCCACCATTAAACCTCTCCTGCTTAAGCAGCCGGTTGTGAGTAAACCAAGGTTACGTCTGGTGTGTTCTACTAAATTGTTTCTATTAAACAGTACAACATATCGGATCCCATGCAAAAAGAGAGAAGTCCTGCGGTAACTGGTCATTCCAGCTCATGATCCACTGACCGTTCAAGGGCAGCCTGCAGTGTCTTTCCTTAGGGACTTGACACCAATAGCCTGGATTGTTTTTCCCTGCTTGAGTCAACTCACTCTTCAGAGTTTCCCATAGCTCTATTAGGTATGGCCCCCTCTGACTTATCCAGAGAGGAGTTTTCTGCAGTTATGCGTGAATTTATGGGCCAACCTGCAACTTTGTTTGCTTTCTCTAAACACAGAGGCTGTGAGCAGAGTTATATGACTTCACCTCCAAAATCTTTGTCTGACAAACCTGCAGCTTTAGTGGCTTCCAAGCTTTCTGCTGCATGCGCATCTATAGTCTAAAGAAGGGTCTCACAGGTCCTTGTTAGACGAGTTTCTGCCTGAGGTGACTCAGTCAGCTGAAACAGCTCCCAAGCAAAGATACCTCATCAGCTCTTATCGATGCTGTGCAAGCTACAATTACATGGAAGATCATGTAGCTTCTATTAGTTCTGTTACCGATCTGGGACCCCTAAAAGGCCCCAAGACATTCAAAACCTTTCTGATACACTCCTTACTTCAACCTGACCTGTATAGAGACCAGGCTACTCCTAACAAATTATTTAATGCTCCCAAACACCTTTCAGACCAATACTACTCTAATGAAGATTTTCTCAAGAAGTAAGCTGTTCCCTCCATGGATCCAGCCTGAACAAAACACTGACTACTAGGTACTACTGAGCATGATTCTATATTTCAGGATCCCACAAAAAAATTTTTGAAAACCCTTTCCAAATCCTAATTTTGTCATATAGGTGACGTCAGCCATTAGGGGAATGGACTGATGTCAAAGGATCCAGCTACAGTCCTTACTGAGCCTTTAGTAGTGGAGCTATTGCCTAGAGTACTACATTATTGTGTTGATGGTCTAGCTCAGGGGCCAGCAACCTTAAACACTCAAAGAGCCATTTGGAAAAACACTGGGAGCCACAAAACCCTTTTGACATCTAAAATGAAGATAACACTGCATATATCGTTTTTTACCTTTATGCTAGTTATAGCATGTATATAAGTATGTGGGCTTGGTAACGCACTGGACTCTGGGCTTAGTAACGCACTGGACTCTGGGCTTAGTAACGCACTGGACTCTGGGCTTAGTAACGCACTGGACTCTGGGCTTAGTAACGCACTGGACTCGGGGCTTACCTGAGACCCCGCAGAGCCCACCTGAGAGTGACCCTTTCCAGCATACCATAGATTTTGCACAGCCCATCTGAGACTCTCTATGGTGGGCTCTGTAGGGCCTCAGGTGGGCTGGTCGCAGGGGTCCCTTTCCCTGTATGTCCTCCCAACTCCTCTTACCAGCTGCTGCTGGGGCCTGGCCTCCTCCACCCCCTCCCCTGTCACCTCTGCCATGCCGCCCCTGGTACAGCTGATACTCATGTAAGAGGCTCCCCAGGCTGCCCAGACCCCTCACATGGGTACTGGCTGTACCAGCCCCTGATGACGCTGTTCCATCAAAGTTTGTGACTACGTTACAATGTGTGACCAGTGACGTGGTCACGCATTTCAAAGTAATCCCGCCAAGTTTTTTGGCGGTGGAATGTGTGACCGCCAATAGGTGAAGCATTCCAACGCTTTCTCAGCTGTTCCAGAGCAGATCGGCATCGCAAATTGTATGTGCAGGAAAACTGATCTGCTCTGGAACAGCTGTTTGGTCGTGAAATGTCACTTCTATCCGACTCTGTGAGTGCGATCTTGCACTCCACCCCACTCACAAAGTCGGATAGAAGTGACATTTCAGGACCGAACAGCTGTTCCAGGGCAGATCAGTTCTCCTGCACATACGATTTGCGATGCGATCTGCCATGGAACATCTGAGAAAGCGTTGGAATGCTACACCTTTTGGCGTTCACACATTCCACCGCCGAAAAACTGGGCGGGATTACAGTGAAATGTGTGACCACGTCACCGGTCACACATTCCAACCTAGTCACAAACTTTATATTGTAAAGCGCTCCGCAAACGGTTGGCGCTATATTAATCCTAGAACTAGATTATAAAAGGCAACATTGCAGTGTAACGTTCCCCATTATAATCCACTTTTCTAATTAAATTAAATAACAGCACACAGTGTGCGGTTACATCCGTACCACCCCCCGCACCGCCGGTACTTCAGCCCCTGGACAGGGAGCCGCAGCAGAGGGATGAAAGAGCCACATGCGGCTCTTAAGGCGCAGGTTGTTGACCCCTGGTCTAGTTGATATTATCTGTCTAATTTCTTGAATAAAAGTCCTGTCTATGAGCAAAAAATTATCTCTGTGGCTTAAATGCTGGTCTGCAGAACAGCAATCTAAAAAAAACTACTGGCAGTGCATGCTTTTTGATGGTGAATGTCTTTTTGGTCTTTCACTGGACAATTTAATTACTGGTGGTAAGAATACTCACTAACGCCAGCAAAATAAGCCTATGCCTAAACCTAGCAAATCTTCTCCTGCCTCTAAGCCAAAAAGAGTTCATTTAATTTCTTCAAGTTTTCTTACTCCAAAGCTCTGAGTAACTACTGATCCTGTGTCCCTTAAATGAACACTAAAGAAAACTGGATTTTTGTACTTACCATAAAATCTGTTTCTTGGAGTTCATTATGGGACACAGGTCCCACCACTCTGTGTTTTTGTGATCTACTCCTAAGTACTGTTTTCTACAAAACTGAATCATGCTGGAGTGGGAAGGGGAAATACATGGATGGTCAACTGCTTTTTTTTTTCTTTTTTACGTGTCCAAATCTTCCTGCAGGTGGCAGTATAACCAATAGTATTAGAATAACTACTGATAGTGTCGTTCATGAACTCCAAGTAATGGATTTGACAGTAAGTACAAAAAAATCCTGGTTTACTTATTTTAACAAATACTAGAGAAATATCAAAATCAATGTATGAAATTTGATAACATTCTGGTTCCATTGTTCTATTGCCTATAGAAAATCATGAATATTTTTACAACATTGGCCCTTTAACGCACATTGCTATTGTTATTTTCAGGCACCAAACAAAAAGGTACACTTATAGACCACCATAACTTGTGGCTTTGCAATTGCTGTTAAAATTAAACTGCCACAAATCTGTGTAAATTCAACTGAATATGTTTCCAGAAATCACAAGCAAAAGTAACATTCAGTGGAAAACACAAGACACAGTGATAAATAAATCCACAGAAATATACAACAGAAGCAATATTTACATCTCGACTTTCCTGCAAAAAGTCAAGCCTGGCCGTACCGTATCCTACCTCCTGAATCTCTCTATTGGTCAGCAAGTCATGTTTGCATAACATTTAAAAGGACATCTCGAGATCTGCTGTCTGCTTCAAGAGGTAGTCCCTGCTTGAACATTTTTTGATCACATGTCCAGTTCATGACAGGTTCACTTTAATCTAAACATGGCTTGTTACATGCACTCATAATAACTGGAATGCTTCAGTGATCTACCAGCAGAGGTTTAATACATATACAATTAGTAACCCACAAAGCCAGAGGCGATACTCATTAATGTGGAAATAAAGAAATTGCAGGCCTGTGGAACACAGCAAGTACTAATTATTTTTCACTGTTCTCAAAATAATGAACTTCATCTCCAACACAAAGGACTGAAATTTGTTCACACGGATCCAGCTCGCCTTCCAAATCAGCCGTGACTTTGTTTGGCTAAAGATCATAATTAAGACAAATTGGAGAGCTGCAGATTCTTCACAAGAAGGTGACTGTCCTGCAGGTACAATCCAAATGCCCAATTATCAAGATTCAGTTTAAGCAGTGCTTGGGAATGGGCAGTTTGTGACATTATTGGGGGTGATGAGTGCCTCTCTGCCCAATGTAGGGTAGCTTTAGTGTCAACTGATGTAGCAATACTCTTTGATTCACTTCCAAGTTTTAAAAAAAATGTATAGGTTTTGTAATTACAATAAATCTTCAGGTAATACTTCAGCACTGGACAGACTTTACCCAGATAAGTCATTCACTAGCGTTTCATAAAAATATTGAACTCTGGGGACACTGTGGTTGAATAATGAGCATATAAAGAAGTGTAAATAATATTTAATTAAAAGCTAAACGCCAGCCTTACCTTTTTTTCCCCCAAACTTGTAGCAAGTCCTCTCCCATGTTTATAAAAATGAATACTCTCAATTCCCTGCTAACTTGTATCTCCACAGTAGCTGCAGCAGCTATAGTGAGCCCACCCTCACTTCCTGTCTGAATGACATTCATCATTCATCAATCAGTACTGTCATTGGCCCCCCTCTCAAAAGGTATTACTTTTCTTTGTCATCAATCATTTTGTTTCTTAGCTTTATGAGAAAGAACACATTGCTGGCATCCCTTTAGACTTGCCTGCAAACAAATCAGCAGACTGCATGGCTAAAGTCTGCCGCAGAGAGAAGCAGGTACATCTAAAAAGATCCCGGGGATGTGTTCTTTCATAAAAAAAAATGTTTTAAAGATTCAAGGCAGAATGTTGTGACGTTGCCCGGAAGCCCCTTCCACCAAACTCCAAGGAGAGTAGTAGAAATACCCAGTGATATCATCAGTTTAAGCAGTGCTTGGGAATGGGCAGTTTGTGACATTATTGGGGGTCTTTCTACTACTCTGCTCGGAGTTTGGTGGAAGGGTATTTCTTGAAAACCATGAACCTGTTTTGGTGAACAGGTATTTCTTGAAAACCAAATTGGTTTGATGACAATAATTTCATGGAATGTTGATGAGATATGCATTTAAATATACTCTATATAAATATGTAATCCCATGCTGCATTTTGCAAAGTAGAGTTGGGGCTGGCCAGAGAGGAATCACTTTGAAGTAGTTGGCCAGTTTGAACATGTAATACAATACATATGAAACCAAGATTTCCTATTTTTATGTAAAAATATGATAGAAATTTGTAAGGGTGTATAGCAGTGTGCAGAAGATCAATACAGAATCTTCAGTAAAAAAAAAAATAGAATAACTTAAACGGTTGCTGCGAAACATAATTCCAGGACCATAACATGACCAGTGGGAGTCACTGGTCATATGGTTCATAATGCAGGAGTAACTTCTTGCGAGGCGTGGGATCCTCAGCTTTTCAAAGATACTGCTGGAAGGCTTAGTGATGCCACCCTAATCTTGACAAATAGTGTATAAGTCGGGTTTTAAGGTAAAACTTTTTTTTTGCTTTGTTAGGGCTAATAGTTTAGGATGGGGGCTACCATGCATATTTCTACATTTTAATGGACAGCAATGCCTGCTTTAAAGTACCCATAGACATGAAGTGATAGTAAAAAATAACCAGAACAAGTGATCAGTTCACAGTTATGCAATGGCAATACATTTACACTATACTGAGTAGTGTAGCTTGACAGGTACTCACCATCGCCTGTTTCCATAAGCTCCGCATTTCCATACTTCGAGGTGACTCGTGACGTAGATCCCTGTGGCCTTTCTACTTGTATCGAGTGCTCTGAGGTGTATGTGGTAACGTCTGGAGGGGCTGAATGGTTTTCTGTAAAATATGGCATAATTTAGGTGAACACAGAAAAAACACCTCCACCACACTGACAAAAAAAACAGGTCTTAGGGAAGATTTTACTGTCATCCATCCCCCAGTACTGAGCAGCACAGCGGAATCCTGGATTTTTTGGAGCTAATTTAACACAGTGCAAACAGAGAGCATAACCATAACATTCACAATAAACTTTTACAGGAAGCCAGCCATGACAGATGCATTGCACGTTTATAACATTGTCAATCTCAAATTAAAACCGAAGAGGGGAGAATAAAACATTAACAGCTAAGGCTTCAGCAAACAAACCAAAATCTGGGGAAGGGTGGAGCAAAGCGCAGGGACTGGTCAAAACACATTATCAGGCATTTTGCATATGATAGGTTAGGATACAAGCACTAGCTACGAGATTACCATATATGTGAAGTAGTTGCAAACAAGCGGTTTACAATATGAGACACTTGATCACGTCAGAGGTGTTATTGTAACAGGTTTTATTATTAAAATGTAGCATCCTTGAATGAAATCACTGTGTCCAGCGCCCCCACCCCACCTCCTTTTCGGCCCCCGAGCAACATTTCTCCTGTTCAGCTATGTTGTCCTAGATTGTTCACTTCTCCTGCCTTCTCCAAACTCTTCACCCTTTTGTGAATAGCCCCGATGGTCTTAGTATGCACTCCTCATAAATGCGGATTTTCTCCAAATGCTACAATATGAGAAGGACCAGATTTACCAATAGGCAGAGTAGACACATGATTATAGGCAGAAGAGGCAGCTTTGCCTGTATAAATATGGGTCATTTGTTTGTCAAGTCAATCTAAATCTGCTAGTACATCTACCACTACCCTCCCCACAGGGTGGCAATACTGCTTCCAAGGGTGGCTCCATAGCTGCTCCATAGAGTGCAGCCTCTCTCAGAAGTGTGTTACTGGCCGGAACACCAGGTGAAAATAAAAAAAGTTTTACTTTTTAACCCCTTCATGACTGAGGCCTTTTTTAAATTTTTTGTACCCATGTTATATTCCACATTTTAGGCCTGAAAATTACTTAAAACCCCCCAACAACATTTAAGGATTGGTAAGCTGCAATATATTACATTTTTGGGTTAAGATATGCTTTAAGTGAATTGTGTTTCTGTAGAGTTTATTAGTTAATAGTCACCAGACAGACCTGCTCTTTACGTGTTTTATGTTTTAAAGCAATATGAGTTAATCTCAAAGTTTTATTGACCATTTTTTTACATAAAAATTGTTATTTTCAGCAATGAGAGTTGAATATAGCACTTGTTATGGCAAATTACACATGCAGCATAGCTTAGTGAACTAAGCCATTCATACTCTTCATTAATAGTCATAAATAACTAAATATTTTATATACTGGAAGTGGGTAATTAACATTTTTTCACAAAGTATGCCAGTAAAAAGGATGATTTACAGAAATGAAATAAACGCATAACTGTTTGCCCATAGCAGCCAATCCAATTCCTTGCTTTCTTTGCAATAGGACACCACACAGAGTTTTCATCAAAAACTTGCTCAGTTGGTTTATACAGGAAAGTTAAACTTGACTAAATCAAAAACATGGGACCATCAAACGGAAGAAGCAGAACATAAAGAGTAATATAGTCATCCTGTATGTACAGCAGATGGAGTGTCAGAAAAACTTGGAAAGAAAGATTTAACAAACATGGCATCCCTGTGTCTTTCAAGCCCAGCAATACCCGGAGACAAAACCTTGTACATCCAAAAGACCCAACAGCAAAACATATGCAAAGTAACTTGGTCTATCCAGTGGGGTGTAGCAAGAAATGCAAAGACCTGTACATTGGGCAGATGTACATGAAACAACCTCTAAAAAAAAAACCACAGAAAAGGTCCAACATAAGAGGGCAAAATCTACTGGTAAAGTACAGTTTTCTTACACAAGTACAGGGAAAATACATTCTTTTGAGGACAGTGATGTGCACATTTTGGACAGAGGACAACAAGAGGTGTAAAAGAGGACATATATGTCAAACTAGAACACCCATCCCGAAACAGGGGTCTTGCACATATAATGCGGTTTTAACTTCTCTACCCCAACAATTTGACAATAAACATCTTCAGCCATGTAAACCAAAAGCTTAACACCTATACACACTTCCTAAATTATGTAATTAGGTGGTTTCATAACTTTCACATCTCCCAACCTGCTTCTGGACAATCAACATCTGCCTTAACACACATTCCATGCTGATTGGATTAAGGTGTCTGTGTCACTCATTAAAACTAAAGATACGCTATGAAATGTCTTCAACATTACAGAACAAGTGCAGTTGAATGTGACTACCACTAGCTATATCATAACCTGCATAAATGAGTACCTTCAAAAGGCAAAAAAAAAAAAGCAATTTAACAAATGGTCCATTCACATGAAGTACAAGCATTGACAGATTACAAAGTGCAGTACCCAATATAAACTCATCAGCAGTCATCTTTTATCTAACAGGAATATTCTGAAAGTAATTTGGTTGTAATAGGGCTAATGCATATTTCAATTCCTCGTCGCTTCCTGTTCTATTGCACTGAATAAGTCTGATAATTATATCCTTTACACAGGAGGAACCTGAACATATTGAGGAACCACTCCAGATTCAAGAATATCTAGAACCCTCTGATAAACGATTTCCTCACAACCTACTTATAAGGTTGGAAGCTTTTCTTGGCAAACATTTTTAATATATTGATGGCATGGCTACAGTCAGGCAATGAATACACTAGAATTATATACTCCAATTCAAATGTTCTACAAAAATGTACAGACATTCTCACGGTTATGCAGAAGAACCTAATTCTAATTCAATATCTGTAAAAATTGAGTACATAAGTAAATCCATTCGTGAACCACATGTAGGACAGAACAAACATCCATATAACATGTTTACAAAATAAAAGACCAATTAAAAAAAAAGTGTAAGGAAATAGGTTTTAAAAGAAAAAATTATGATGTAAAGTGTATGTCAATAGGGGATGGTATACTAAAGATCAGACACCTGGAGACATAGATCACCGCTGTCCATGATGCAAAACAAGTGCCATGTAAGAAAAATGCAAGTAGGGCCACCCAGTGTAAATGCTGGACCTGTAAGCTATATTTCTCTATATGCCTCTTTCTTGCTGCTCATTAAAGGTTACACTACCCATTTTAGCTGTGACCAAGCATGGCACGAGCACAACTGCATTTGCTTGGCACATCATCTGTATTTAATCTAGTACTACTATTTTAATAAATGCATGTGAAAACATAGAGTTCTGTATCAAAATGCCTTACATTAGATCAGAGTGAGATTCAACCAGCTACTCAACCCTACTATACTGGCATGAGCTTGACCACCAGCAATAACCTGCTGGTCTTGCATACCAAACCCCCATTCCATCCCTCTGCTTGTATATAGTTCATATAAAGTGAACACACAACATGTCATTTGCTTTACATTTATGCTATATACAGGTTAAAGCAAACAGTCGCCACTGTATATGTACCCCCTGGCATATGGCCTTCATTGATCAAAAACTCAAAAACAAAAGCTGGACATGTCTCCTACAGAAACTAGCTTCAAGCCCTGGCAGAATGACAGGAGGCATCTGATTGATAAACTAATACAGTTCATCCACAGACGCTTTTAATACATTTAATCAGAATTGTGATGTGACTTTGCAAGCAGTTCAGTAACTTTGCTGCAGCACTTCTCTATACAGAATATACGTTAATTGCAGGTGAAATCTAGCCTCCCAAACACTGAGCAGACATGTATCCGAAAACTTTCAGCTAGAAGCAATTTGGAAGCACTGACCTGAATCGTGTTAACCTACCATCATGCACAAATCTCTAAATTCTCCATTAAAGTCTGACTGTGACAACAAATACTGCTGGACTATACTGGGACTTCTCTTAATTCTAAATACAATGCAGTCAACAAATGAAACAAGGAATAGAAATGGGGGCAAAAATGTGCCACAGGAAAAATAGGTAGGCAGGTATAGTAGCTTGTCAAAGGGGTTTTGTTGGAACAAAATGAGAAAACAAGCAACTTACAAAAGAGGGGGGTTACAACATACAAAAAAAAATACACTAAGATTTATGCCAAGCAAGACTAAGCAAGACTACCACCAACTCTAAACCTAAGGAAACCGTTACACTATATTATATTATCATGTCAATAAATACTTCCACGGTGATTAGATTGTCAAAAATGATTTATGGAATAAAAGCTTTCCTGCCCACATACAAAGTGCAATGCTAAAATGATATGCCTAAATTTGTGAGCCACAATGACATGATCCTTATAAGCCAGGATCTATAGGTCCACAGAAGAAGGCCATTACTCTCTACAGTATAATCACATAATGGTCGATAATGCCTAAATAGCACCTGTTTGCTACCCACATTGCTAATTAATTGGTTTTTTATACACAAAACACACAGCTCTGATGTATTCGGGGGGAAAAAAAGATACTTTATTCATGTCATGAGCAAAAGAGTACTGAAAAATAAACAAAAACATATAAAGAATAAAAAGGCCAAAAAATACCATAAAATAATTTAATCATCCTGTTTATCAACTATGAAAGATCATCAAAATCTTCTCTGTCTATATGGGTAGGGTACAAACCTTGGGTCATCATCTGATGCACTGTACATTCATAAAGCCTTAGTGACTCCTACATCTTTTAAAGAGCAATAGACCTTTCTTGGAGAAAAAGCTAGTGCAGGCTCCCATAACCAAAAGTGCATTTGTCAAATGAGTTCTGCCGAAAGAAGGAACAGTTATTCTGAATGTCGATCCTTCTTTGCAGCAGAGATCACAATAGGAAATTCCTAGGATTATGTAGCCAGCACTAAAGGGAACCCTATGCAGAATTTTCTGTAGGAAAGGTAAGTGTTTCAGCCTTGAAATTACTCTTTATTTACCTACCCCATGCCCAATGTTACCATTTGATAATAATTCCTCCTAAATGCTAATAACATAATTAAACAGCAAAGAAAGCCTCTTATTCGAGGTTAATTATATTTCTGTCAAGGTCACCTTTGGTCCAAAAAAGTTCAACTGACAGCAGAGCATCTGTGCGCCTCTAAGGCACATTAAACAACATTCTCATAATAATCTACCTCTGTTATAATTTATCACACAGGTTTTCTAGCGTAAATACATGGATGGCCATTTCAGTCTTATATCACAGAAAGCAGCATGCACAGTTTTCAATAAACATTAGCTTGGCTTAGTTCTCATGCTTCACTGGACACTTGCAAAACACACAAAAATCCACTAGATGACCACAGGCTCAGTATAAGACGAAGGGATTTTCCTATAGTTTATTCATATAGAATGGGAAGTGTTTTCAGGAGCTACAGACAAGGAGTAGTGCCTGTAAGGATCTTCATAGGTGGATTTATTTATATGTTTTAGCATAGACGGCCATGTATTAAATGGTATATTGATGTTAAATGTTTCATTTAGGTAAAAAATATTGCGCTTTCTTTCTAGCTACATAATAGAGTCCTTCCGACAGCAGTTTAATCATTCTGTTTTCTGAACCTTACCTGTTAAAGTAAAAAAAAAGTTTAAAGTGACACTAAATTTAGGAGTTAAATCTTAAAAATGCATTCAAGTACCCTAACTATTAACAAAAATGTATCTTATTTGTGTATCACTCGGCTGTAGATCCTCAAATCATCTCTGAATTGGTGCAGACACTGTCCTTCCTTCTGGATGGGGGCTACTTTTGTTCCCCATGGTCCCTGTGTGCGTTGTAAAGTAGCCACTGCTCCAAGCTAGCTCCTGTGATGGACTACAATCCCATGTGTAGTATATCACGGGAGTGAACTTGGAGCGGTGGCTACTTTACAACACACAAAGGAACCATGCGGAACAAAAGTAGAATACAGTTCTGTTAATAGTTAAGGTACTTGTATGCCTTTTAAGGTTTAACTCTTGAATTTAGTGTCACGTATTTGTGGTAAAAGTCATTGTTCCATTTCCAGAGGAAGCACTTTGAAAAGGTATATATAGAATTATATTTAAAAAAAAGGCAAAAAGAAGCAGTGATGTAGAATAACCCATAGCAGAAATCAGCGTTTCAATAGTATACCTAATTGAATTCACTGAAAGTACATATCTCATTGGTTGGCAAAGGGCCCAATATTGCTATTTGCACCAGGTCATGAAATGTTATGTGGCAAATGTTATAAGATGTCATGTATATAATCACATCTCTTGCCTTGAAGAAGGGACCCTGTGTGGCCCCGAAACGTCGGCTCATGTTGGATTTCTGTGACATCATTGTCCATTAAAAGGACTCATTCATTTTAACTTATGGAGTGCTGGTGACCTATTTTCTTCAATCATGTATATAATCATATCCATTCCTTGTTGGTCACCTTAAAACAACATGGTTTCTCCCCCGAAAATCTTTTTTCTATAAACATTTGGTTTTACTCTCAATATAGCCATATAATCAGACTGTGATGGCTCAGAGTGCGTCACACCTGATTAAGGGTTTCTACTTTTCCCTCTTCTTCAGACCAGAGATCACCCAGCTTTGCAAACTGCTCATGTATCTAGGCAAGCCAGGAGTCTTTTATGCAACTGAGCAGCAACATATATTGCTATATGATTACCCACAGTCTGGGTGAAGAAAGAGAAAAATTAGAATGTACAACAGAGCTTCATAAATCTCAGAAGTGGATGGACAGAAAAAAGTCCTTTGGCATGTAAAACAGCTCCCTTCTATGCATTTTAGCTGTGAATTTAGCTGTTTGCCTAAAGTTCAGCTTAAAATATTTCTTCCAAAAGCAACTGTCAAACCAAGAGCTGCAGCTGGCACAGACAATACAATATCATCCATAGCTTGGAAAAGGGGATAGATGAAGAATGAAGAATACTTCAGCAAACTGTGGTACTTTCTGAGCCACCAACAGTGACACACAAATAATAAAATAAAAATGCAATTTAGATATTAAAAGTCTCCTCGTAACATTGTTTTTAAAGTGACCAACAAAAAACACATGCATAAATATCACTGATGTAAACTGTCCCATAAAGCTAGGCAAATATGTATATCAAGCTGTGAATTATAATATACAATTATAATATATAAATCTATGTAGAATTCCAGGATCCTGTAATGATATAAAATGATTTGGAATTCAAAGCACAAATGTATTGCATGTGGGAGTGTAGTAACATATTTGGAGTAGCCAAAAATGGACTTGGAGGAATGGGATAGAATTCTTATGTCTGACGTATAAGAGGCTAATGTGGGGTGAGGGGGAGGGATGGATTGCAGGAAATTTGGTTGACGTACTCACCATTTTTAGGTGTTTTTTGCCAAAGGCAAGAAGCACCTTTTGCACTCGCCTGATTCTGTCCATTTGTAGTTAAGATAAAGCCACGCCCACTTGTGTCACATGACTCATTTTGATAGTGATCCTTGATGGAATGCACAACTGTCAGTGAAGGTAAAACACACCAAGATATGATGATTGCCTTGCAGATCGGTTATGAAGGAATTTTAGTGCAAAATAAGGTTATAATCACAGAGTTCCATTGTCAGAACTCAATGAGTATGACAGTGCTCTATAACGTATTGGTAGGTTACTTTCTAATATCAAAGAATGATAATCCTTTTTTTCCATGGGGTACAGTAAGGCCAATGGGCTGAGGAAATAGGAGTTAGCGAACCACAGCAAACATTAGAAATAACGCCCTTGAAGGTATTGACCCCATTGGCTGCACTCTAGTTGCCTCTATGCTTACACACATTAAGGGTCATTTAGGAACCACATTGCACTTTCAATGCATATCTAGGCAAAACTTCCTTTTGAATAGAGCAGGGAATGGTTAAAAGCTCCACCAGTTTTTATGTCATCTGTATCCTATTGTGACCTGTGTAACTAAATTTTTTTATCATCCCTCACCTTTATTTCTAGTCACAATAGTGGCACAATAGTGACAGGGGTGTGAGTCTCCCCTGTGCACAAAAGCAATAAAACATTGACAGAGGTTCTAATCCGTCATCACTCTTTAAAAAAAAAAAAAATTAAGTTTAGGCCTTAGATATATTTTGATGTTGTCTTAAAGAAGGACAACAAACCACTAGTAAATGTATATAATCTAAGAATAGGGTTGCACTCGGCATTATTTTATCCAATTGTTAGCTGAATAAGTTCCTGGTAAGTAAGTGTTCTTAAATACAGAAGTTTGCAGGTGGAAGCATAGGAGAGGGGCCAAATGGTGAATCAAACTATGTGTTAAACAGTCTGAATTCTGAGATGTATTGTACTGTATAACTGGTAACAAATTGTTGAGTGCGTTTGTCGTTTGTTTTGCTTGAATTCTGAGATGGCCTACATCTCAATATAGTTTTATTGGGCTACAAATTATACTGAACATGAGCATGGTAAAATATGTAATACTACAGGTGAAACTCGAATAATTAGAATATCGTGCAAAGTTCATTTATTTCACTAATGCAACTTAAAAGGTGAAACTAATATATGAGATAGACTCATTACATGCAAAACAAGATAGTTCAAGCCGTGATTTGTCTTAATTGGGATGATTATGGCTTACAGCTCATGAAAACCCCAAGAACCCCAAATCCACAACCTCAAAAAAGTAGATTATTACATGCAATCAATACAAAAAGGATTGTACATAGAACAATATCGGACCTCTGAAAAGTACAAGAATGCATATGTACTCAGTACTTGGTTTGGGCCCCTTTTGCAGCACTTACTGCAATTACTTTTGCACGATATTCTAATTATTCAAGTTTCACCTGTATGTTTGACCTATACCTCTTTATAGACCTATAGTGAATTCACTGGACAGCACAATGAATTCTCCCTGTGGGAAAATGAAGGAGTCAGGCTTGGCTACATATCCTAGTTAGTCTGTCACAAATCTGTGAATAGAGGTGCCCTTGAAAGAAACCTAAAGAGCATTAATGGTCCAGCAAAGTATTAAAATATACTCCATGCCGACCAAAATGTAGAAAATGTAGAAAATGTACTCTTCCTAATAGTTTGAGCCAGCATGCGACACTGAAGATGTCACATACCTGCATTCTTCCTACAGAGAGCGGTGACCGTCAGTTACGGCTCCCCGTAGGAATTTCCCCCTCAACTCTCTGTTCCTCCAGCGCTCATTGGAGGGGCAGACAGGGGAGCGGGAGGACACAGCTGGCTCTGGGTCTAGAGAGGTAAAGCCAGCTGTCAATCAGGCAGCGGAGTAAATCCTGACAGTATTGTCGTAATCTTTACCGGCTGCAGCATGGCTCTGCGCTATGAGAACATAGTGGGGAGTAGCCCGATAGAGGCTGACATTGGGTCACAGGGGTACATTAGTAAATGTACTGTTGTGAGCCAAAAGAGCGTCAAAGCCAAAAAAAGGTTTGGCTGAAGTACTCTTAATTTTGGGTGGAAAAAAACTGTCAACGCTGACAGGTGACTCAAGAGTAATAATAAAATAGGCAGGTTATTAAAGAGAAGAACTCTCATTGTCAATAACCTAGCTATTTCTTGACCTTTAAACATACCAGAATGAATAGCCCAATTTCCAGCCCCATAACATGCAATCCTCTACAATTTATGCAAGGCTCACATTTAGCAAGAAAATGTCTCAATGCACCCCCACCCTTCCAAAACTAGAAGGCCTTTCTAATTAAAAGGCTGTACTACAAAACAAACACTAAACGCCACATTTGCACCTTCGTAAATGACCCTTAATATCCTAAAGTATGTTAGGAACATTTGTGTTCTTTATGTGTCTAGATAAGCAAACTGGGAGAATAGGGGAAGGGTATATCAGCATAGCAAGCTTGGACAGGTAGCTCAAGATGCAAAAAACATCAGAAGACTCAACTATACATACTGTGGTACTGTCCGTCTGTCCTTTTATTTCCTTCAGGGAAGAAAAGCAATTGTAAGCCAAGAAAAAAAAGAAAAAAGCTAAATGTTTTGTGCTCAGTAACGAGATACAGAGACTTGCGCCAAAAGATGGCAATCTGAGAAAAAAGTTAAGGGTGAAGTCTGTGTGATGAATACATCCATTCAGCAGCAGTGAATTTTCCACTCTTTGTGTTAAGCCAACACTCAAGAGTTAGAAGTGATGAACAGAGTTCTCCAATCTAGACAGATAACCAGCTGGCATCTTGGTGATTCATCACAAATTGTATAACATTCCGTCTCTGGCCTTCCCGAGGAATGTAACGAACCTTTTACCGCACCACAGCTATTTAGCCCACTTAAATACATACCACACCTGAGCTTGGGTCAAGGCTGATGGGGGCAAGTATATTTGGTCTAAAATGGGAAGCTGCGGAACTGAATGAATTTAAAACATTTTTCTAGAAACTAAAATTATTTTTACACAGGCAAGGCAAGTATAGAAGTATGCATATTTTCTGACTGCACATGTTTATTATATTACGTGATGGTACAAGTCATATGTTCAGAGCCAAGTGAAATAGATTAGGAGGACCCAGGTCCAAGTCAATGTTGTGCTCACAAATCAGAAAATAAATGATCCAAACCACAACGACTTTGTCATGGCTGTGGGACATATTTACATGTGAAATAAAAATCATTTCAAGTGTTAAAAGGGACATCTAAACATTGGAAATGCCCTGTGTTTGTTATCCCCTCAGTGTATTTACGTAGGGAGGTATCCTCCCTTCACATCTCCCTAGTTTGCCCTAAATTACTAATGAAAGATTTCTATCTACTGGTGAAATTTGCTACTGCAGCTTGACTGTAATACAGTCAGCCCTGTGTGAAACATCTGTATTTTAATGGTCAGGTAAAGTCTTACAGTTCATTTTCTTTAGACTGCAACCACAGGTCTTTCTCTCCTGCCAGAATGCTGTAGAGAAATGCCCTTGTTCTCTGTGTGGGAACAGTTGTCTCTCTTCATTTACTGTGTCCTTCTGTGACCCAAAACTCAGAATATAGCAGGTTGTTGCCCATTATATGCTGACAGCGCTTTGCGGCTTGGAAAGATTCCGACAATATTGTCGGGATCCACCCCACCATCCGAGTGCCCTCACCTCTGTTCCTCCAATGAGCACTGGAAGAATGGAAAGGAGAGGGGGGGAATAACTACATGGGAGCCGTGACTGACAGTCACCGCTCTCTGCAAGATGAAGATCAGGAACTGAGCGATCAGTGGTTTGCGATTGCTCAGTTCTCAAAAAATAGAGCCAATGTGTGACAGCTTCAGTGTCGCACATCAGCTCTAATTATGGGGATGAGTGCATTTTTCTTTCCAGGTAAATGCCCAGTGTGAATTTTACTCTTGAAAAATCATTACCTACATTTATATGCTTTTAGAGCACATTTCTAAAAGGTGCCCATACACCTTACAATTTTTCTGGCGATTTTCTGTGGTCAGATGGAGATTACTCCATCCACACAGTTAAGTGTAGATGGAGGAATCTGTTGCACCTTTTCCATCTGACCGCAGAAAATCTGCAGATAAATTGTAAGGTGCATGGCCAGCTTTAATGCAGTCAATGATTTTTCAATGGTATTCAGCCTGACGTTTGACACTGCCAGTGTGAATGATGCCAAAGACTTTTGTTTTTGATCACTTGGAATGCATTTAGATGATTTAAACTGCAAGTTGAGTTGGGCTTTAAATGTATCTATTTAATACACACACTAAACTCTAAATGCAGTTTAATGGAATAGAAAAACATAGAACTTTCCCATCTAGATATGGAAAATGGAATCCAGAGGATTTGCCAGCAATTGGATATGCTGCACATTGACATTTCATGGATTATCTGTTCAGCGGCCCAAGTAAATGATGTTGTACTCTATGCTGAATTCTACCCCGGACTATACGGAGGATAGGTAAAGTAGAGCATGAATACTGTTTTCTGCTACAAGTAGCACAGGAGTAATGTTATGTTCATTTAATCAGTAAGGTTGAAGAAAAAACCATTGGGTTTAACATAAAAATACTTCAGATTCAGAAGAAAGCAAAACAATAAGACAGCTACCAACATGTTAGAAAATCTCTATGCAATAGGCAGTCAATTAATTCCTTTTCGTAAATGATATGCTGTACTGTTCTCTAGTCAGGGAAAGGACTACTGTGAGTCTTGTTGGTGCAATGCTTCAAGGTATGTTGGAGACATCTCTTTCCCATGATAATTTTTTGTAAAAAAAAAAATCTGCTTATATAGTCTATCTTAAGTAGATATTCTCTTTTACTCATATAGTTCTAGGACTGAAAAAACATATTACACAATTGTAATATTGACCTCTAAATTATCTATACATTATTACATCTCCTCTAAAATGCATAGTTTTCTAGATAAACATACCAGCTATGTAATCTTCTTGTACAGGAGGAGATCTCATACCCCTATCTAAAAAAGGTGTCTACTCCTGAACCCTATGACAGCACTTTTGATAATCCTTGTTTTGAGAGCACCATCAGATGTTTATGACAAGCTTTCTTAATTTAAAGGAATGATGCTTTAACTTACACCTTCATTTTTATGGTGGTAATCATTATAAAGAGTAACATGAACATGAAGTACCCACCTATGTGTGTTTGGGCCATAACATCAGCTAATCTGTTTGCAGCACCGCTGCCCCCACTCTGTGTCGAGGAGGAAGAAGTGGTTGATGTGGTTGATCCATGGATTGCTTGGCTGATCCAGTGCTCCATATTTATACTCCCTTGACTTGAGGTGGGAGTTCCCTGGGAGTCCCCTTGTACTGAGCCTTCATCCTCTGACCCTGAAGAGGTATCTATTCAAAATACAGATAATGTTAATACACATTGGTCCAAAAATCTGAATGCAGGGGACAATAAATAAAAAAGAAGGTCACAGTGATGTAACCTGCAACATTCGCTAGACTGGAAAGCTGTGGCTCCCTTCTGCCATTGCAGAATTACACATATATGGTAACACAACTAATAAATAAACATCATGATATGAACAATAATGAAAATTATAATGTTTTAACCAAGAGGTCAGTTCAAACACTTACTGACCTGGAGGCGTGTATGCATCCATAGAGGTTTGTACCACCAAAGAGCGTCGTTTTGATGGCATAGGTACAGCCATTTTCCTTTCTTTATGTTTAGCAAGGGCTGCCTGGACTGCTTCTGTATGGACATCTGCAAGAATAGAATGAGCAGTATAGGGAAAGCTTTGTCATTAACATGATTAAACTATTTAAAACGTAAAGCTGAACGCCAGACAAACAGCTAAAAACACAGATGAAATACATGTTGGAGCTGTTTTACCTACCAAAGGATTTGTATTTCTGTCCATCCAATCCTATGATTTACATAACCCTGCCACACAGTACAGCCCTTTCTGGCAGTGGAAAATACCTGATTTTTATCTTCTGCAGTTAACACAAATCTTGCCTCTACTCCAGCTGTCAGGAACACTGCACACAGCAGATGGCGTCTGCGCATGCGCGCGAGCACGGCGTGACCAGCAGTGTCGGGCCGGGCACTTTCGCGTAGACGTCCGTGCGCGCGCGTGCGCGCAGCACGGCGCATGCGCGCAGCACGTCACGTGCGCGCATCTGCGACGTGTTGTGGCGCCAAACGGGCTATTTAAACTCAGCTCCTCCGTGTCTCCAGTGCTGAGTACTCTTTCAGCTTGTGCCTAGTATCCTGTGTCTGTTCCTTGGTTTATTAGTTGTTGGTTTTGACTCCGGCTTGCTCCTGACTCCGCTGACCTTCTGGTATCCTGATCCTGGCTTGTCTAGACGATTCTCCTGCTCCCTGCCTGTTCCTGCATTGCCCGCTTGTTACCAAACCCGGCAGGACTGCAAGAACTATGTGAACTCTTGTGTTACTTGTATACGCAGCAAAGGGAGTAAATCCAAAGGATGGGGGTTATTGAGATCACTTCCCGTTCCGGACAGATCCTGGTCCATGATATCGATGGATTTCATTGTAGAGCTTCCCCCTTCGGAAACCTTTACTGGAATTTTTGTGGTGGTCGATCGCTTCTCGAAGATGGCTCACTTCTCTCCAATAAGGGGGGTTCTCTCCGCTACAGACACTGCCCGTGTCTTCATCAGGGATATTGTTCGATTGCATGGACTGCCCACCGCCATTACCTCTGATCGGGGAGTGCAATTCACTTCAAGATTCTGGAAATCCCTCTGTGAGACCTTGAATATACAACTACGTTTCTCCTCTGCGTACCATCCACAGACCAACGGTCAGACCGAAAGGACGAATCAGACCTTGGAACAGTATCTTCGCTGTTTCAAGGGGCCGCCCTCGTCATCTCAAGCTCCACCAGGTACGTGACACCAGCCTTTGACTAGACTGTGAAAGGAGAAGCAGCAGACTGATGAGCTCACCTCTCTCTCACTCTGTGTTCTATTCCAATCAGCATGCTCATTGCTAGTACATAAGCAATGCAGTACAACTGACTTGCTCCTTGTGCTGCTTTTTCCTCTCCCACCCTGAGCTCTGCTGTATAGGGACTGCCAGAGGTAATACCAAGTCAAGTTTGGGTACTTACACTGCCCAATGTAAAAAAAAAAATTACATTTAGCAACATTAATGAATGCACAGCTGCATTATTCTGTCTCTTTATATCTGGCTGGAGTTCAGCTTTAAGAGCTCTTTCATACTACCCGTGTTCGGGCAGCGCTGGGCGTTTTTTCCAGCGCAGTGCAAATGGAAGACAAGGCACTTTTCATGGATGGTGACAGTTCACACCACTGCGTTCTGGTGGTGTGCTTTTAAAAAAGTACGGCATGCAGTCATTTTTTTAAGCGCACCACAGTGAGACGCGGTACAACCACATCACACTGCGATGAGACCAAATAGAAGTTAATGAAATGTCACTTGTGACATCTCAATAAAGTTCTAACAAAAAAAAACAGTGCGATGCTGCTCGATGGAGTGCATTTGCACTGTAGGGGAACACGCACAGCTCACCCGCACGGCTGCTGGTGTGAACAAACCCTAAAGCTGTAACGTGCTTCTTTCTAACTGAAGCTGCAGTGTTTCATAATCGAAGTGGAACTACAGCAAAAACATTTTTCTTCTCGTCTTGGACAATGCAAGCGCTAGACCATCTGCCGGGCTTTTATTTCTGTGCACCCTGACACCTGAGGAAGTAATGGTATATCTATAAACTGGGACACAGACAATGAGATTTAAGGCATCAACCCTTTTCCACACTCCAATGAAAATGGGTTTGTAATTCTGTGCGTCTTTTTGCCTGTATCATGTGTGTACAAATCGCTAAGAAAACAGAAAAAACAGAACACAAAACATGGCCTTGTTCTTCTGTTAGGACTGCATTGGGCAATGCTGCTGGTGTGAACGAGCCCTTACTGTTCCGCTTACAGCAATTATACTGGACATGACATAACAGGGAGCCAGACAGAAATAAAAAGCTGACAGGGGTTCTTGCCTTCTCCTACACTACTAAAAGAAGAATTTTGATTTGTGATGCAGTTGAAGATTTTACACTCACCTCCTGCCTGGTAAATCAGAGGAGAAATCTGACAGAGCTCAGAGTACCTGTACAAATTGGACCGGGGTCTTCATCCTTTCTCTACTCTATCCAAAATGTGGAGTGACATTTCTGCTGAATAAAGCAGTGTTGACCAAGCAGCAGCCCTCTATTTGTGTAGCACTGATCGATTTTGCAAATAAAGAGCATGCTGTCATAATGACACACCATTAATTCTTGCATCATCCCTTACTATATCCTCACACAGAGTAAGCATGTGCATCATTGATGCCTATCTGCTGTTCTCTGCAGCCTAACTAAAGAAAGCACATTTTCCAAAGATCAAAAACTGACCAAACAAACCTCTTACCTGATCGATAGCGTTCATCTCGCGAACCTGAGGACCGCCTGCGATGATACCTAGAGGAAGAGGAGGGAGTGACGGGTGTTCTACGTTCCGGTGGCAATACTTGATCCACCCCTACAGGAATAATAATAGTAATAAATATTACTTTAGTGTGCATTTCACTAGCTAAGACATATGTCACACCCAATTTTCTTTTTTGGAAATTACATTGTCTGAACAGTGTCCCTTTAAATGAGCATGAGTTTGGAATTTTTAAAAAAATGTCTAATTTTCAGTGCTAAATCTGTCTCAGTCTGCTGCCCACGATTGCAGGTGCAGAGATCCCAAATACAGCATTTGCATTTAATTGTGTCGCTTATTTGCCTAAGGTCCCCAGATGCATTTTCAATGAGCACATATTTTCAATTATTGCATTGTTTACAGTTAAGTATTTTTTATGCACTTTTGTTATACATTTGCTCTCCCATTTTTTCCGTTATTGTAGTAAATATGCAGAAATGAGACTTGCAGGGAGGACAGACTGACCATGACCATTACTGCTGAACAGCTTCTCTGATACAATATCAGCCACACAGGGAGATGCATTGCCTTCAATGGGTAAATTAGTGACAAATTTAGACGCAAATCAGACTGCTTGTAATTTAAAACCTTGATTTGCAATCCACAACAGTATTCCTGGAGATCAAACTGAGACTGATTTGCACAAGTCTATGTTCACCACCAGATATGAGTCAGATTTTCATCACAGTGAGACAGAATTTCACTCAAAACAGATGCACAGCTAAGAAGTGGTCAGGGGCAGGTTTTATTCTGTTGCAGTGCTATTTTAGAGCAGCTAAGGGGGAATTTGTATATGAAGCTGTCTAAGTGTAATAAAATGTATCTATACTCCTGTTAACAATGGCTAGCTGTGCAATCAAATAAACAAACATCCTCCATATACTTGCATTGTGGGACGGTGAAGTAAAGCACAACAAATGTTTAGGAATACAAAAGAAGAATGGAACCCCCTATGTAATAAGTAAATATGGCTACACACCTCCACACACACAATTTAAAACTATACATAGAAACGTTTATATAATCCAAATACATATGCAAGAATAATTTTTATGAAATACTTTTGAAAGATTATTCCGGTGACTAGGTTAGAAACAGGAGTTATAAATAGAAAATCCAGCTGTAAGCATTTATCAACCCAATTTATATCCTGGTGTGTGAATGTAAATCTGCTTAATGTCCTGTTTGAGTATCATAGATTTTAGTAGTCTGTGTATACTTACATGCCCCCAAATTCCTATGCAAAAAGGTATGGAGAAAATATGCACAGTGTAATATCCATATGACACAACTGTATGCATGTTCCTATTCAAGAAAACAGACCGTGTAATCATTATGCTAGCAGAGTCTACGAGAACTGGCTTCTTCTGGAGAATATGGCAAATACATTTAGGCAAAACAAATATGGTTTTCCAGTTTATAAATTGATATTTTCTGCATCATACTTGTGTATTAAACTGTACTTTGTATGAAATCTTTTTTTCATAAACATTAATGATATGGTGCACCAATGACACTGTTTGCATATTGTGTTTTCTAATGAGAAAGCCCAGCACTGCCTTCATGCTTTTTAGCAGCCTTTGTTGACTGACTAATCAAAAGACAATTATAATTATGGATGCACCGAGTATTGATATTTTTTTTCCCGGTACTTCTTGATACTGAACACAGATACCGGAAGTCTCATTAAGGAAGCTGGCCAGCTTCCTGATTAGCTGGGAGGCGTGAAATAACTCGCCAACCGGATTCCTGATTAGTCAGGGAGCCGTCACCAGGTGACGAGGAAGCATGGAGCTGTTTTTCTGGCCAATCAGGAAGCCAGGGGACAGGTAATGACTCGCCGCCTAGCTTCCCGATTGACCAGCTTCCTGACCAATGAGGAAGCCAGGCAGCAAGTCATTGCACACCACTCGGCTTCCTGATTGGCCGGGAAGCTGGCTCCATGCTCCCTCATCACCAGGTGACAAGGAAGTATGGAGCTGGCTTTCTGGCCAGCCAGAAAGCCAGGGAGGGTGGCGAATGATTAGACGCCCCAGCTTCCTGATTGGCCAGCTTCCCGACCAATTAAGAAGCTGGGCGGCGAATCATTACACTCCACCCGGCTTCCTGATAGGCCAGGAAGCCTGTCCCATGCTTCCTGGTGAACAGGGAGCATGGAGCCAGTTTCCCGGCCAAATAGGAAGACGGGGGGCCTGTAATGACTCGGCTTTCTGATACGGGAAGTTCCAGTATTGTGATAAGCCTCGGGAGCATTTGGGCGAGCTCAAGTATAGATATACTGTATATAGTTCCAGGAGTAGCAACCACGCTGTATTTGTAAAGTAAATGCCTGGATGCTCATCCACAAAAATATCCATACACATCCAATGTAGGTATAGAGACACTCAAGGGTCTTGCAGTGGGGTTAAAGTCAAAGCATCATTATTTTATTATCAAAATGTGTTGAAATTTCAGATTGAGCCAAAAAAAAGTGAGGGGGGGAGGAGTGATTGTTCTAACATTGAGGAGAATATGAGAAAACAAACCCAATGCTCAGCCGGCATATATACATATAACTACAAAATATTGACAATTTCACATTTACTTAATTACAACAAAAATAGAAAAATCATTTTTGAAAATGTATTCTTTTAGTCCTGATCATAAACCAATAAAAATGTTTAGCATTCGCTGATCATAACCCAATAAAAAAATGTTTAGGCCCCGTTCACATTGAGCGATTTGCAAATCGCGCGTTTGTCGCACGATTTGCATTTTGAGCAATATTGCGCAAATGCTTGCATCAAAAACCATTGAATCACGGCAAAATCCGCTCCAAAAAGGGTCCTGCTGTAGCGACACACGACAGCAGGACCCTTTGCCCCGTTGCAAAGCATTGAAGAGCGATATCGCGGGTAAATAGCCGCGATATCGCGGGAATTACGGCGCGATAAATCGCTCAATGTGAACGGGGCCTTAGTGCTAGATAGCATTTTCCCTTTAAGATGTTCTTTTCTCTCGTGGGAGAGAGTGCATCTGTTAATTAAATTGTGCATCAAAGAGAGCATGCTCTTTCATACAGCTCCATATATCGCCATCAAGTGGTAAAAATTGCAAGTAGTACTAAAGGCAGGGCATTGTTTTACCTTAATGCATTGTGTGCATTAAGGTAAAAAAAAATGCCCAGTATCTTTCTGTGTTCCCCTACCCATCCCCCCGCCCCACCCACTTACCTGTGGTCACTTGCCACCACTGCGGGGCCCCTGAAGAGAAGGAAGTTCCCTCCGTTCTGAACTTCCTGGTTGCAGGGGGAGGGTACCGAGGGCAGAGGAGCGATTGACTCTTTCTGCCATCAATATTTTGGGAGGGGAGGAGGGGCGTGGCTTGCCGCATGCTGTGTGCGTCTATGAACACACACCGCTACTTGTGGCCACAGCTGGGAACATGCATGCACAGGTGTCTCCTCAGCAGACACTTTAATGTTGCAATGCAATATTTAGCATTTTTTTAACAAGACGATAGAAAATACAGGACATCATTCAAATTCTTTCAGAAGGACATACGTTGAGCTAGAATGGTTGCTGGCAATTTGAAGTTGCAGAGCCAAAGGGGTATAACGCTGTACATTTAAAGTAGGGCCAATATATTTACATGGCAATAGACCTATATCCATGTAGATAAATGTGCCAAGCAGGAATCAACCTGAGAACATCAGCACTGCAAGAGAAACATGCTAACCACTCAGCCACCAAACTGCCTCAAATGCATTTAGATTTATTTTAAATGTAAAGTGCACCTGTGCCCAAACAATTGACATTACATTTTTGTTTTACATATCCTTAACAAGAAGTAAAAAGACCTTTAAACCAAGCCACTACTGACCTCTCTACCTGCAGGTACTGTGAAGTACTTGCAAACTTACAAGCAACTGGTGTTTGTTTACATTAGAAGGCTGGCAGTCTGCCAAAAGAAAGAAGGATAGAGGAGCTGTGATTTCAGTGATTCTGGTTTTAACTTTGAAGATTTCCCCAAAATGCCAACAGCTACTTAGGTAGATTAGGGCTTGCTTAGAATATGTAAATTATTTACCGTGCATAGTCTAGGTATAGGTTCACCCTATTGTACTGCTCAAACGTGCATGTTAATGCAACGCATGGTAGTGCACGTTATGCGAATCTGTACGCTGGTGTGCCCTTCATTTTGAATGGCATCCAAAAGTTCGAGGGAAAAGCACCTAAGCTGCAGAACACTTCCATGCCTTGATTTCCTCAAGAAAAGCATCAAGTGTAGGGCTGCAGCTAACGATTATTTTCATAATCGATTAGTTAGCCGATTATTAAGTTTGATTAATCGACTAATCGGATTAAAAAAAAGGCTCCAGTGATGGACTACTAGTTTCTTTTGAGATTGTAGTCCATCACGGGAGCAAGCCTGGCGCGGTGGAAGTAAAAAAAAAAAAAAATTTTACAACATTATACTATAATGTACTATTGCTGGGATTTGTAGTCCTCCATAGCTGGTGGTATTCTCCATTGCGCTGTATAATGATTATACTGCACAATGCAGATTACCACTGACCAGTTATAGAGGAACTACAAATCCCAGCAATAATACATTATACAGCGCGATGGAGAATACCACGGAGAATTTCTGAAACCTTGTAAGTCGCTGCAGCGGCGCCGGCGTGCTCTGCGTGCGTGTGTCTGGTGGCCGTGTGCGCGGTGGGCATGGCGTCCGCAGCGTGCATAGTGTAACTCGTGTATGGAGCTGCGAACAGGCGGGCGTGAGTGGGAAATTTCAATTTTAGCCGACAAAGCGACGATGGAAAACGCTGACAACGTTTACCATCGTCGATTTTAATCGACTTAATCGAATAATTGTTGCAGCTCTAATCAAGTGTGTTCTTTTCTGTGATTAGGTGCATTGGAAGCCCATTCAAGATGGGAACTAATTAAGGCTGAGGTCTAGTCCGCTACACTACTCACAAGAGAATCAAATGGAGGTCTGTATCCAGAACCCATGTGTACATTATCCAATCGTTTTTTTAAATACTGGCTTACTACAAGGCTATACAGATTGCTCTTAAAAGTGGATGATTTATAAAATAATGGGCAAAGATGGAGTTCTTGCCCAACTACACCCAATTTTCATGTTTTCATTACCTGGCGGTTGAGGCAGATATGCTCCTATTAACTTTGATCTCTTCTTCTCATAACCTTTCTGTGTGATGTCACCTGCAACAATACAAGAAAGAAATGCATCATGTGTATGCCATGTAACTACAGTATACCCATTACATAGACGCAAAACAAGCCTGGCTAGACCAGTATTAGAGAAGAGATCTATAAATAGATTTGTGTTGAGTTCTAGCAGACAGTTTAAGGCTACAGTAGTATCTGTGAGCTCAAAGTAACAGGACAAATAGATGACGGACAACCTCAGGTAAGTTGCAGAGGTCCACAGATTTCACTTTAAATATCTTCAAGCCGGTTTAATGAGAGATCGAGTGCAGCACAGAAAGCAAAAAAATGATATGCGACATCGTGGTCATACATGTGCAGTGACCACGCTTCTTTAAAAAGCTCAGTCCACCCAAAAGTGATATTCCAAATATAGGTATAGCCTGCCTTTTATAAATATTGAACAATCCAACAGTGAGATCTCCCTGCCATAATTCCTGACTCTGTTCCCATTCACCTGGGAGTTTTGGGTGTTGCTGCTCACTCCTCATAATTGCTGCAGCAAGTGTATGACCTAGGAACTCAAGAACCGAAATCTCAAGAGGCTCCAAGAGCTGCATTTTTTTTTAATAAGAAAAAAAGCTTGGTCTTGATTTTCACGAATATATAATATTATAGATAATTGTAACTGGGTTTGGGATAACAGAATAAGAGCAACCCACAGAAGCTGTCACTGGCCCACAAAAGTTTTCAGGCATGTCAACCCCATGAATATAGCACCAGACTTTATTGTACTGGTCTGATAACTATTGTTTAGGATAAATACTAGTCCAGATCAATGATGTCTGCTTCTCCAGGGCTTAAGAATACTTTGAGTTTTCTAAAGTAACACCCAACTTCGATCAGTGCAAACGGAGAGGAACAAGTCACGAGCCAAGTGACCTTTCAGCAGACCATAAACCATAAATATTGTTCCCAGAACCACAACCATGAAAACTTTTACATAGAAAACACAGTAACTATGGAATTTCCTTTAGTGCTTGCTTCCAAGGACAAGTTACATAAAAGTAAAATGAAAAGAACACTACACTACTTTCAGGCAGACATGACAGAAAATGCAATTCACAAATCAGGTATATATTTATATGCTTAAAACTGAGGAAAAAAATGATAAAAAAATTTTGAGTAAACAAATCAAGTGCTCTTGCTGGCTTGAGCAGTGAAGACAGCCATTCTGTGGGTTGAACCTTCTAAAGCCAGCAAATAAAACCCAAGACACGTGTGTCAACCTTTTTTACTATACATATGGACTTATTCAGTATAACCATGCAAAGCATAACAATGATGTGCAAGGTGTATGAATCCATAGAAGCCAGGAAAACAAAGTATGCTTCAAGAAGAGGAAGAGGCAGAAAAGCGGTCAACGTAGTCAGCACACTACAAGGGACCAATGCTGCGGATAACACTGTAAGGCCCCTTTCACACGGCCGGTACGGTTGGGTCGTCCTGTCAGTTTTTCAGAAAACAGTAGGTCCCCCTGCACTTCTTACAGCGCTTCCGGTCCAAGTGAAAATAGTGGTGCTTGCCGTGACAATCACAGATGGCGCCGTGTACAACAGTCAATGAACAATAGAAATCACCAGCACTCCGTAAGTGAAATTCAAAAAAAGTCAATTTATTTGGACTAAACGTCACACATATCGCATAATCCGCGGATATTGCGATATGTGTGACGTTTAGTCCACATAAATGGACTTGTATTGTATTTCATTTACGGAGTGCTGGTGATTTCTATTGTTCATGGTGATTTCTATTGTTCATTGACTGTCAGTATTTCAGGCGGACCCGATCGATGCCCAATGCAAGTCTATGGGCAGCTATGTGTAAACAGAAGAATGTCCGTTTACCCTGGCTTCGGCCGGGTCTGGAGGAACAGACAGATCAAAGTTCCATTTTGCCGGACCAGATTGTGCCGGATTGGAGGTAATCTGATGTAAATGGATACATGTTCTTATACATCAGATTCCCCATAGACCAACATGGGGTCTGGCAGTTTCCATTTTTTCCTCCTTTGCAAGGTGGAGGAAAAAACTGGACAGACACAGATGTCATAGCGGGGACATCCGCTCTGTACTGCTGTGATCAGGAGAGGATCTGTGCATGGATCCCCTCTTCATTAGCCTCTGTGAAAGGGGCCTAAGTTGCCAGGGAGGAGGAGCAGCAGTGCAGGGAATTAACTTTTTAACCTAATTTTCTGGCTAATCACTCTGTCCTCAGTACTTCATGTCCAACATATCTAATCACCACAGATCTCAGAGCATTAGTGTAAATTCTAAACTCTCCCAACACCACCATAGGAAGCAAATGTTTACATTGTATTCTGAGAGGTGCAGCCGTCACCTGTCAGAATACCCGATCAGAGCGGGCAGCTCTTTGGCTGCCAGCTTTGATAGATAGAAAATCTTCTAGCCGACTCCTTCGATCAGCTAATCAAGGAATGCCGGCTTAAAAGGGAGCCGACAGCCCCACACACTGTGCGAATTTCGTCCAGTACATAAAAAAATGGCTGGAATTCGAAAAGTGTATGGGCACCTTTAGGCTGGATTTACATCAATGTGTTTTCCCCCTGATCTGGTTTCCATTGCAAACAGTGGAAGTGCATCAAAATGCATGTCAACACATGTTGATGCATATTAATATTCAGTGTCGTGCATTGTTACCGTACATTGCAATGCGTCATAAATATGCATCATAACATCAACACAAATGAATGAATGATGAATTTATGTGCCCGATGTGTTGCCAGGTGTCTAAACACATGCGTTTTGATGTATTACCATTGATTTTCATGGAAAACACATAAAGCAAAAATGCATAGATGTAAAACAGCTTCTCATAATACAGCACTGGATCTGTGTTACCATATGCACACATGCTAGGTTGTTATGGATATAGTAAAGAAGGAAAGGAGGGATGCAGATGCCCACTTTATGAGTATAATTTTTTATAGCTAAGGATACTTTTTCACATACACCAGAAGCAAAGTGAGCTTTACGAAAAAAAGTCCACTAGAGCTTTTAGCCACATTGCACTAACATCTGCCAAATCGCCGGTGCTTTCCTCTGCATCTTGGTCTTTTTACGGGTTTCAAGGCTTCAGCCGCCTGAATTTCCAGGACCAGATGATGTTACTCCGTCCCGGCATACTAAGCTGCGCATGCACACAGCTCAGTGTACAGGAAAAACAGATTGCTGACAGACCGCTGGAACCTGCTATAGAATACCTGCCGGATATATATCTATATAGATATATATATATATATTTATTTTTACCTCACTTCCACCTTAACTCGTGGCTGGCAAAATTCAGTGTCAATACAAATTTCAAATGCCAATTTTTATTTTTTTAAAAGATTGCCCTGGTGACTGGCAGGACAACAGCAAGATAACGAGACTGAATGGCTCACATGATAGTAGTTTAACCACACTGTTTTCAAAGTATTTTAGGTAACATTATACTGCAATAAGAGAAAAGGACACCAGGTTATACAAGGATTATATGTATAAATGTGGTAACAGAATCCACCAACAAATAAAACAAATACAACCACATCTTTTTTTAAATGCAACAAATGAATAATCAAGCAATGGATTTCTCTTTTAACAATCGCAGCTGATCAGATGTAATTGTAATTGTTAACCTGTGTTCGTTTTCAATTTTCTGGATAAATAACCACAGAGATATTTAAACTTGGCTTTTGGGCTCTCGTCTGCTTTATTTGGGAAACTGCATGCCACTTGTTAGAGAACCATGAAATGCTCCAGCTTTTACTAATGAGCTAAATTCCACAAACTTCACTTATGAGAATCTCAGAAATGCAAATGCACTCACAAAACCCCTTGAACCTGGACTTGATAGAATTTCACAAACCCACTTTAATTTGTGAGCACCAGGATGCTGTACTTGTGGATCTGAACTTTAGAATCTCCTGCCAAAAAAAGACAAGCAGAGTACAAAGGACTAGTCACCAGTGTTGCTTGTGGTGCACCTGCAGCGAATCCTGTGTCTCTGCATGAAGGCAGCCATCTTGGTAGAGGAGGAAGCTTTGTTTCCACATGTCAGAGCTTCTTCCCTTATGGCTGATGGTGGATGGTGATATATTGAAAAGCAGCAGAAAAGGTGCAAACAGCACAGATCCTCAGAATGATCTTGCACTGCAGGTCCTCAGGTACAGATTCCTCTGCAGCAAGCAGCATGATAGTAACATCATCAAATCTCCAAATTTCACGAGACTGCTTCAGACACATCACCTTAGATAATTTAGCACTGCAGATATACAGTACTGTACATTTATTATGCTGAAGGGACAGGAGCACCTAAGCACAGGTAATGAACTGCTATTTCTCAGTAGGAATTATGGACACAATGTTTTAAAGAGTGCTGCTTAGCAACAATTAATATTTTTAGATGTTCCCTATAAGTACGTAAATCTGCAGTTTTCCAATTAATGTCCACTTTAATGAATATTTCTCCTGTGGGTAGATGTATTCGCTAAAATCGGACACCCGCCAGCTATCATTAGCTATAGGGCATTGACTAACAGGTCTCATTGCGTAGCAACAGAATCACATGAACCTGCATAATGGCTCTGGCAAAGTTTAAACTGTTAAGACAGCTTTAATGCTTTGCAGTTCTTTAATGAATCCAGATGATGGTTTATCTTTTGTGTTGTTCTGCTATACATCTGCTTGATTTTGCTATGACAGCAGCCGCCAGAGCAGCCTACAGAATTCAGGTTTCAATGCATCCGGTCTGGAACCAGGAGTAAGGAAATAAAAGGTATTCAAATAACTTAATAAAAAAAAAAAGGTTCAAACAAATTAGGTGACAGCTGTATTATTTTAATTTTTTTTAACAAGAATTACCCTGTTTCCCCGAAAATAAGACCTACCCCGAAAATAAGACCTAGTACTATTTTTGCGAATTGCTAAAATATAAGACCTATCCCGAAAAGAAGACCTAGTTGTGACCATTCCCAGGGCCGATGGTGGCAT